GCAGCTACTATCGCACATCGGCTGGCCCGCAGGACTTGGAGGATGGCGAGCCCGGTGGCGAGCTATATCACCATGCGGAAGAAGACGAGTATGATCCCGCTGGCGCCGGGTACTACGATGTATACAGCGATGAAGACGGCGGCGATTTCAACGGGAACGGCATTGGTGACGAGTACTCGAGCCGGTTCAGCAAGGACTACCAGTTTACTATTGCTAGTCCCGCCGAGGAAATGCACGGCAAAGCGGTCGCACTGTTTGATTTCATACAGGAAAACGAAAACGAGCTCCCCTTGGTGGAGGGCCAGGTGGTTTGGGTTAGCTATCGGCATGGAATGGGCTGGTTGGTCGCTGAGGACCCGAAGACAGGTATTCCCTTTTCTTCCTTGCCTTTGTGTCAGGCTGATTGGTCAAGGTGAATCCGGCCTGGTACCGGAAGAATATGTCTGCCTTCTCCGCGACATGCATCCGGCCGGGGAAATGAACCCATCCGCCTTGGCGCCTGAGGAACACTTGGCTCATCACGCACACGTGAGCCACTTCTCGACCAGCAGCCAGGACGTCCATCCGTACGGGTATCAACTGGGCCACGAAGAGAGCCGCGAGCGGCTTGAACAAATCAGGAGGGAATACGAGGACCGTGCTGCGCGCTTTGCTGAGGAAGGGGGTGAGATGGAGGAGGCTGTGGGCACACCGCGACTGGGGAGCGAGGCTTTCCATGAAGGAGAGGCAGAGAGCGAGGGATTCGTGGGAGGGGCTGAGGCAAAAGTGAATGGAAGTGACAAGGGCAAGGCGGTGGAGGTGAAGGAGGAGACACCTAGGAAGTCTCTGGCGGTGGATAGAGAGAAGGAAGCGCCGGCGAAGAAGCCATAATACTTTTTTTTCAACAATGAAGACCTATGATGTATGATGCCGACGATCGATGCCAAAACGCGGCGGCGTGTGTTTTTATAAGTGCTAGCGTGTTGGCGGGAGTGGCGGGAGTTTTTGTTTTTGCTGTTGTGTTTTTTTACTATTGTTACACTTCTGTAGTTCACGGTGGTCCGCTTGCATCTTTTTTTTTTCCTTGCTGTATTCTTTCGCCTCGCCTGAACTGTTGCCGTTGCTTGTTAAACGCTATGCACTTTTTTGCTTTGTGTATGTGTTTTAATTCAGCGGATGTTGAAGCGAGAAAAAGTTGGTTACTGTCCAGAAGGAGTGCCCGTCAGCTCAACGATTGTTTACTCCCAGGAATCACGCATTTCCACCACAACCACCATCCGATTATGCTACCTATTGAGCGGGAAGCGCCCTATGAGTCTGTTGAGGCCTGGATTCAGGCGGAAATTGAGGTTCTGATGGAGAGAGGCGAGGAAAATCCAAATCTATGGTTGTAAGCCAGAGCTTTAGTACCCAACTTCACCACCACACATTTAAAAAATTAAAGGCTCGGTATAGATCGACAGAAAATCATCGAAAGTATCACTTTGCAGGCTCAGGAAAAAAAAAAAAAAAAGGAAAAAAAAGTTGTGGAGGGTAGTGGAGCAGGTTGAAAGTAAGTTAATTTGATCGATTTTGTATGGGAGCCCCCCCAGACTTGCACGATATGGCAAGAAATGGCTTAGGGGCCCCACATTATTATACTTGGCGTATTTGCAAGTACGGCGGGTCACAAGTACAGGACCCCCCCCCCGTTTGGTCGCCCTCTGTATGGTTTCAGTAAAGTACAGAAACCGAGTCACCACGTCGATTTCAAGTAATAATGGCCTCTGGGTTTACTTCAGAGTATGTACAGACCCCCCCCCCCCCTACAAGCCAAAGTCTCGTCAGCTCGGACCGGGGCGGTACCGGGCAGAGAGAGCAGCAGCAGCCGGGGTATGGGAGGCAAGTAGACAGCCCGGTTGAACGTGGGGAAACGCTAAATTCATTTGAGGTCCAAAAACACCTAGATCTCTCGATGCGGTCAAAATTTGGATGGCCAGTCCGTGTTGAATCCTTGATGTCACCCGGACTCTCTAAGGTGAAATCAATTTTGATGGAACTGTGCCCCCAAAAGAGAAGAGCACAGTGGCCCCTTCAAGATGATCGACACAATCTCCACGCAACCCTGCAACTTTCACCGATCTGCTCAAAACGTCCTGTCACTACATGGGAGACTCGTGGACGGGGACCCCGCCTATTTTCGCCCCGGAACAAAGGATTTCCCTCCATTGGGAAAGCACTTGCGCAAATGCCAGTGAACGGCCGATAGGAATCCTATTGGCAAAGGACGAGGCGGAGGGACTCCTGCTGGAGCTCTTTACTCCAACAACACCGAGGACTGCTGAACGAAGGGCTCTAAGAAGAACCTTAACGGCAATGGCAAGCGTGCCAGAGAAGAATCTGACTCTGATAAGCCCCTGGAAGCATCATACGCTTATGAATTTTATTGCGCCCACCGAAAAAATACTAGAAGGCGGAATCCTGTGGTCTCCGGAATTCGGGGATGCCAGTGGTGGAGTCAAAAAAGGCGGGTCTCTGGACTTTTACCTGGCAGAAAAAATGAGGCCTGGAACTAACAAGAGAGGGTGCCCCATTACGAGCGTTTTGAGTTTGGAGGAAATTATCATCGGTGGATTGTCTCCGGCGAAATCGCGCTGCTATCCTGTTATTTCGTTTGTGGCGTTAGACTATGTTGTTTGTTTGTTGCTTACCACTGCAGACTTTTTGCTCCAGCGCTGCTTGTACCTGCAAATCAAAGATTGTGTACTGTTGATCAAACTCCCCTCTCCTGGAAGCGTCCAACTGCCCGATAAATGGCGGATATCGACCTCGGCGTTGAAGACCTCCTTATCGCGGTTATAAAGAAGCTGCCGGGCTTTGGCTGCGGCCGAAACAGCCAGCCCGACTTCTAGTTGAGCCGACGCTTGGCTGACTATTTCTCCCCCAACAATCGAACTATGGCCGTAGATATCCTTCTCGGACCGACGAACAGCCCCCGGCATCCTGGAGCATAAGGTATCACGGGGTGAGCGGCGCCTTGATGGGGGGTTATGCGAAATCCGGGGATCAAGGCGTTCGGTATATACAATGAAATTATCTATTTGATCCGCCGACATACCCCAAGCATTGCCCGACCGACTAGCAGCTGGCTACTGGGAACAGTGCTGGCAGTTTCATGGGGCTGGCGGTCTTTTTTTTTTTTTTTTTTTTTTTTTTTTATAGACGGTGGGTGTGATTTTCGTTGCTGATCATGAAGGCGAGAGGGTGAAGGAAGAGAGCGCAGACTTCGAGTGATGGCTTCCCGGCATTGCACAGCAAGGCGTTCCATAGTGTTCGGCATCCATTATGCCTACTCAAGTACGAAAGGGCTGTGGTATCCATCGTCAGTCAGGCTGACCTGCGGACGGGAAATGGACTAGGATCATTGAACAAAGAAAAGGCCCCTCAGCCCTCCCGACCGTGGCATGCGGCACGCATTGTGTGTCATACGGGGTGGTGTGGAGCGGGGCGGGCGGAGTAGATCTCCGCAGGCGTTGCACGTGACGCGAAGGTTTAAAACTGAAATAACGGATCTTGTGTATTGAACAGATGATGGAATAGCGGTTTAGGGGCGGTTGGGAAACAGGTGGCCAGGCATTGCGGCAATGCGATGTGAAATGTCCATATGATACACATCGATATCGATGTGCATGTGGCGATGAACGCCGTCTATAAAATACCGTCTCAACTGCTCCCACAGTAGCTCGATATCCCAATTCCAATACCCTTCAATCGAAAGCAAACCACCAGTGGATATCTCAGGCCTCCATAACAGCACATAAAACCATGCCTTCTTTCCATCTCACCTCCACCGACACGCCCCAACTCCTCGAAATCCCGTACCTAACAGCTGACAACTACCTCGACTGGGCGCCGTCCATGCAGCGTCTCCTCGGATCCCAAAACCTCTGGGACCTGATCTCGGACCCATCGGCAACAAGTAGCGCTATAACGACTCAGCGGCAATACTCAGCCACGAGTCTGATCCTGAGTTTGGTCCCGATGTCGACGCAGCAAGAATTCTCTCTCCAGCACATCACAAGCCCGAGCATTCTCTGGGAACGCATCAAGACGCACTACCGCAGCAGTCTGAATCCGTGGAACATCCGGCAGCAGCTGTATTCGCTACGGCTGGACGAGGATTTGGATGGAAGCGTGGTGAGGTATGCACTCAGGATCGATTACTTGGTGCTGAAGTACAATTTCTCTATGCTGGCCGCGGAGCGGATGGGCGATGCGGAGCTGGCGTGGATTTATGTGCATGGCTTGCCGGACAGCCGGGAATGGCGGGAGAAGAAGGAGGAGTGGACGCAGGGTGAGAATAGGTTGGAGTATCTTAGGGATCCGAGGAAGTTGAAGTTTGAGATGCTGGAGTTCGAGCGCGGGTTGTAGGCTGGGGGGCTTTGCGTTTTGGGATTTGTTTGCTCACAACTGTGTTTGATACCCATACAGACTCTGCTTTTATTTTATTTTATTTTATCTGTTTTCTACTCCTCTTCTTATGTATTCAGACCTAGTCTCAATGATAATTGTGCTTGCTCTACATGTTGCCAGCTCCCTCCCGCCTCGGAGAATTTACTTGATTCTGGGTGATGGTTATGGGTCTAAAACCGCGGGAAATCCACGCCGGACAGGACAAAAAGAAAATCGCTGAGCCAATTTTTTAATACTGCCACAGTATCGAAGTGAGGTGGGCGTACCTAATGCCGTCGAATGCATAACTGGCTGCCGCATCCAACCAACTCCATAGCTGCGTATTCCGAGTTCCCACTATCCGCAATCCCTTGGGTGGGCGTTGTCGATATCTCACAAACAAAAACGTCCAGCAAAAATAAACACCTTCTCCCAAATGCGGTTCCAAATTTTTACCCAAGCGGACTAAAAAAGCAAGACTGTATGCCTTTGCTTTGGTCCGTAAAACGGAGTTTCATTTTTTTGTGTGGTTAAATAAGGTTTGTGAAAAGGGTATTGATAAGGCTCGAAAGGTCATGCTAAATATCAATGGTTGGCTGGTGTAGTGGTTATCACACTCGTCTCACATAAGTTTCTTTGGTTGAACAAACCCTTGTCCCTGTGTGTGCACGAGAGGTCCCAGGTTCGATCCCTGGGCTAATCATTGTTTTGATGTTCTTTTTGCTAATTTACTTTTTGCTTTGGCGTTTGTTTTAGGTTGGGGTCTCAACCAGTAGCCATCCGGTGGGAGTTATAACCATGCTGCAACGAGGTCAGGTGTCCGGACAGCCTTAGTTTTGTGACGGGAAAAGAATTTGATCAATCAAAAAAAAGGGGTTTGGATTGAACGGTTCTGGGTGGCGGTTGACAGCCTGAAGCTCGATACCAACAACGCCAGCTTGGGCATGCTTGAATGGATCGTGAGGTGCTTAATTACTTACCAAAGGGTTGGCCGGCCTGACAAATTAAGAATTGATAGCCCGTGGAGGCAAGACCGGGGATACCGTATTCTTCCGGTACGATGAGAATTGCCGGCGCCGAAGTCAATCTTTTCTAAGTAGCAAACGTACTATGTATGGAAGCATGACACCGCCGGCGAATCTTGATTGATGGCCAAGAGAGGCGGGCACTGGAGACGTCGCGGTACGACGGAGACAAAAGGCGGCCGTGAGAATTAGAGTTGAGTCTTATTTTAGCTTGGATGCAATATCGATATCAGACGAGTCCCATTCCAGCTTGGATGCAATATCACCAGCAAAGGCCTTTTACTGGCATCCTGATGTTCCTTTCCCTGAGAATTCGAAGGAACGAATTCGCTTCAGTGTTTCTAAAAGCGGTGATCAATGGATCATGTATGTCACAGAGATTGAATCGGTAATTTTTTTGTGGAAAAAATAGCGCGCGATAGGCGGACTGGGGAGACGGCTGATACCTCTATCAACACCATGATTGGCTGCAGGAGGACACCCTTTTGAGGAGGCAGACGGGGCGAATTCTTGGACCAGCTACGAACACTTTGGGCACGGATTTGCGTCAGTGAATTGGCTATAGCCTCAATTCTCAGGACTGTGGCCAGCGAGAGGTAAACAAGGAAGTGTCTCTCGGATTATTAGGCCTTTGCAATCTGGTATGCATCCTCGACCGTCCTCCATTTGCGTGTTCCGGATGCTAATATCGCTGTGGGAAACGAACACCACCCCGAAGACAGTTCTATTCCTGAAGAGGTTTCAGATCGATCACAGCAGGAGGAACAAACCCCAGGCCCTGCTCTAGTCTAAGTGGCAGAGGAAGCGCCCTCAGAGCCTTCACTCGCTCAACATATGTTCTCGGCCTTCATGTGGGCGGTCGCAACATCGGTTTCCGATGACACGATAAGCCGCGCCAATACCACTGTTGAGCCAAGTGATGCCCACGATTTGGGCGATGACAGGCCAATTTTTTCGAGACTCAGAAACAAAGACCTTTCCGAACTTGCAGGTTCTATTCAGAAGGCTGGGCCCGGAAGTATCTATGAGGTTTTCATATGCCTGATACCTTCACCAAGCTGCGAGAACAAGCTTCCGACAGACGCTGTGGTAGACCATATCCGCCAAGAGACACAGGCCTTCGAACTTGTAATTGGGACAAGGCAACAGCGAGGCAACAGATGTTGGAAAGATTTTGTGGAACCCACTTTGCCATCCATCTCGTATCTCGCAGAGCAGAGGCAGTATGTGCCAACCTCACGCAATCGATTCTAGGCATGGTCCGACTTTGGCAGGACGAAAAGTGTGAAGGAGACATAAATACACTTGTCAAAAGTCAGGAGAACATTGATAAACTGGAAGCGTATAAGGTCGATGAACACGCCTTTCAGCTAGCCTATATGGCAGATCGGCGAAGCCAACTGCTCAAGGCACCAGGGACTCTTTTGTCTGTCAACCAGACACCCGGTCTACTGTGGGATCAAGAACCAACATTCCCTGCATCGTTGTTAGTCGCAATGAACACTACCTAGAATTCAAAGCGATGAAAGTACATTCAATCAGCGACGACACAGATAGCAACGACATGGAGGATTTTCCAATTTTAAAAACGTCGACACGGCAGACATCTTCGGTTGGACAGGGCTTCATTACTGCGCATTTTTCGGGGTTAAGCAGCTTGTTGCCCGCTGTTTGCTTAATAACGCTACCTCCGAAGTTTACGACCTCTGTGAATATAGTCCGTTGCACTATTCAGCTGAGCAAGGCCACGACAAGGTTATCCAACAATTTTTAGAGGCGGGTGCAGATCTCGACTTCCAAGGACTGGGTGACATGAGTCCATTGCATTGTGCTGCAAAATTTGGACGCTCTGACATCATCCGTCAATTGATTCAGAAGGGGCCGAAATTCGAGCTTCAAGATTGTTTGAGAAGAGCACTTCTACATTGGGCCGCACATGGAGGATTCCATGACATCTCAGACCTTTTATTGAGGAATGATGCAAGAATATCTGCCAGAGATGACCATGGTCGGACACCTTTACACTTGGCCATGATAGCTCGTATGGATGAGAGTAAAACGGCTCAGAAACTTTTGCGGTGGAATGCGGATAAGAATGGCGTAGACCTAGACCGAAGCACTTCCTTGCATCTGCGAGTGGCGCTCAACAAAAAGGAAGTTGTGAAGGTTCTGCTCAATCCGAATTTTGGTGGCACCGCAGAATTAGAGAGTCCCGACGTGAAAGGACGAACGGCCTTGCATGTTGCTGCTGAACTTAACCATCACGAGATTGCCAAACTCCTTCTGGAACAGGGTTCGGATATCAAGGCATTGCACGAGAGACAAACAGCACTGCACAAGGCTGCTTTCGAAGGCCACCAAGAAACCGTCCAAACCCTCCTTCAGCAAGGCGCGGAACTGCATGTGGCGGACGCAGAGGGCTCACTCCGCTGGAGTTGGCAGCCAAGAACGAGAAACAGTGAACCGTTGAAATACTAGTCAATAAAGTTCGCGAAGTTCTCAGAGTTCAAGCTGTAGACGAGCCCACCCGGATGATCACAGATGTCTTCCTCGAACAACGACGGTTCGATGGAATTCGACTATTCCTCCAGGCCCAAATCTCAAAAGAAGATCTAGGAGAAACCATTCTCCAGAAGGCGCTAATCCTGGACACAGAGTTGATAGTACAATTTTTGCCCGCACTGATTATAACACTGGGGCCCAAACTTTCCAATGTGGCCAGAGTTTCCGTGGAAGCTGTGGAATAGGCTTGACAGTTCTCCGAAGTCAGTCACCATACGTCGTTCCAACTGCAGTCGGTAGCCAATACTTTCAAGCTTTTTGAACTTTTGTCCCGCAAGCTACATAACACGGACTTGTGCTGCTTGGTCTTGGACTGCGAGGAGTTCTGGGTTCCAATAACAGTCGAAAGATTGGACGATATTGCTATCAATGAAGCGCACAAGGATTCACCTTACATTGTCGCAATAATACCTCATGTGTCCGTCCACCCAGCCCGGAAGATGAGGTTTATCATGAAATCCCATGATCAGGGTAAACCCTTTGAGTCCGTTAATCAGCAGCTTGCTACAACCACAGGATGGGTGGCGACGTTGAGCATCCCACTTCGGAGTACTTGAAGATCGAGGTGTATTTCGCGTGGGGGGGCACATGAAAACGATGTTGATGGTGGATGATATTGCGTGATGGATTGATCCTTTTTTTTTTCCCCTCTTCTGTGCGTTTGTTCGGCTGACGGAGGATGCGGTGTTTTCTCCATTCTCCTTTGATGGTTGAAATTCTTTGCCACAAACTTGTGTGCCCGGGCTGTGGGCCTAGTGAGCACTAGCTGCCGACAACTAATCAGTTGTCTGGTTGGCTCAGTTGGTAGAGCGTCGGTCTCATATTCAATATGACTTCCACACAGTGGCAGCAATCCGAAGATCGTGAGTTCGAGCCTCACACCGGACATTGAACTTTTTGCCATTTTTGGGAGATAATAGAAAACCTCCTACAATCTAGTTTGCAAATAACTACCTCACGCACCAGCCTCAATAGGCCCTTTGAGGGCTCTAGGCAGATCGAAACTGCCTTTGCTTTATAATGGCACCGCTTAAACTAACTTCACCGCAAAACATAGTGTGCACATAATCAATACCAAGTACATGATAGTACCGTATTTTCGCGGTACGATGAGAATTGCCGGCGCCGAAGTCAATCTTTTCTAAGTAGCAAGCGTACTATGTATGGAAACATGACGCCACCGGCGAATCTTATGCGACGGCGACAACACTATCTAAGGAGGCTGGGCGCGGTATGGTTGAGGACACCTATGTACTCATCCGATGGCGATTCCAGAGGTACAATCGAGAATTTGTCCATGACTGTGCTAATGGCACTTGCGACTGATATGGCTGGAGTGGACGCAGGGCCGGTCCGTCGGATAAGATACCCCAATCGTTGTCTAATTTTCATAGCTTTTTGTGCTTTCCCACCGTGCACTTCAGAGCCAGTGGCCCATTCTCCATGTAATGCCATTGGCCAGCTCACGGGAGATTCTGGAATCAAATACCCGCCATTACCGTGGCCAGCGGTACCAGGTCCGTCCTTGACCTCGTCCTTGACTTCGTCATCGGTACTTGATTCCTCGCTGCTCGACGTCCAGAAGTGGTGATCCGTTGCAATTTGGCGAGCCAGCCAATCCATTTCGTATCCATCCAGAACACGCTTGGCAGTCGGTTCCACGATCAGTCCACGGCGGACCCAGGCTCTCATGGCCGTCATCAGGAAAATTGCCAGGAGGCTGTGCAAAGGAGGTCGTCCAATGTAGCCCTCGAAATCCCTGGAACTGGAGTGTGAATGTGAATGTGTGAATCTGCTAGTGATAGCCCAACACACAGATCTATCAAGGCCTCGGCCGGACTAGAGGCAAGCCTTCGAATTTTCAACCAAACCCGAGACCGTGCCTTTCCATAATTTTGACAACGCTCAGACATCAAGACAGCCTTTTTGGTACCCTGGGCAATGAAGTATCACGGTAAACGCTTGTTCCATAGAGGTTTGCCGAATCGCGCCACCGAGTGTTTTCACTTCCAAAACGCCGCCAAAAGTCCTGCATCTTGAGAAGGAAACGTCAGGCATGAAGAAAATTTATCTGTATCACTTTTAGACCGCTGCATATCAAGGCATCGTATGCTAG